TTATTCATATTGCCATGATTTTACTCAGTTGTTATCCAGAAAATTGTGCCTTTCTGCTCTGTGTTTTTCCTAGTGCCCTTAAAGGTTAACCAATAGTTTCCTTTTTTGTTACACCCATTTCCTGAAAACTCAACAGTGAGTTTTCCAGCCTTGAAGTTCTGGTTTGTTTGTCCCCGGCATACTGCAGGTGTCAAGGGAAGGCCATGCATTCACTTCCAAAAAGGAAACAAACTGCCCTGTGCTCATAAATAGCACCTGCCCATTAGTCACCTTTCACAGCACCCTGTTGCCAGAGCATGAAAAACAAAGAACAGGGAATAAAGGTTCTGCTGTAACAAGGCACTTTTCTGAGTCTACACATATACTGTCTGGGGGGGAGAGGTGACCCCTGCCCACAGGAGGAACTGGGAATGTTACCAAAAAGGGTCTCACAAAGTGACGGATGTTGCATTGACAAGGGGTCATCTCAGTGTGGGAAGAGACAGTGGGTTCTGGGTTTTCACTGTGGAAAAAAATACTTTGCACACTGTCCTGCAGAAATGAGTGAATGAGTATTGACTCTGTCAACAGTGTCAGAAGAAGATGTGTCCTGCAAATGAGTAAAAGATTTAGATTCATCCATTGAAACTGAAAACAAGCAAAAGAAAAAGGTGACTGTCTGAAGAGGTACTGGCAGGGCTTGGAAAAGTGATGAGTAGAAAATAAAGCATTTATTACAAAACAGTGTTTTTCCAGCTCTGTGCAAAAGGCCTCACAACAAGCAGGGAAAGGAACTTGTCTTGCCAATCTGAGACAATATTTACAGTATCTTGAAATTTGTCACTTGAAACACTAAAGCCCTGGTCATTAGTCTTTGCTATGGATAATGCCCCCGAAGAGATTAAATATGTATTATTTTTAAGCTGCTACTTCTTTGAGAGCACAGAAAGCCATAAGAATGAAGCTCGTCTAAAAATAAGTCACTCTGCAGCTACAAGAAATGCCACAATATGGAGAGGGGGGACATGTTTTAGTAACACTTAGCTGACTAAATAAAAGCATCAGTATCAGTAGGATTTTGCAAGCCTACTGAGATGTGTAATTGAGTTTAGAATTTTGCTCTTAATATCTATTTATCCCTACTAATTCCTTCTCAGCACAGGTGCTGCAAAACTGTACTTCCAAACATCAGCAAACCTTTTTAAAATCCTTACAGGGAAAATGCAATCAAGAAAGTACAGCTTATCATTATATGTAACACACATTATACCCATATTTAGTATTTGGGTTCAGCAGTGTATAGGACCAATATCTGTGCTGTGCTGCCAACTTGCAGATTATCCACAAGAATCTTTACAAGTTTCTAGTTAGTCAAAGCTGGACCACAGGAGTATTTGATGACTTATTCACTGCAGCCAGGGAGAGTAAAGCATTTACAATCTCCTGTAGTAGGGAGTAAAACAGAAGTTCTCCCCATGAAAACAAATGCTGAAGTCATTAATGCTGTTTTTGTCTCTGCTGCCTGCTCCAAAGTGAATACAAATGTCAGACTGGCTTCTCTGCATCCCTTTGCTTCTGTTCAGGGTTAAAAAAATAACAAGGCATATAACTAGAGTGGAAACAACAGGAAGTATTTAAATAGCAATTGTATATATGGATTGATAAATAAAATTCAAGGATGTATTGTTAAAAAAAGCACATATCTTCTCTTGTATTTGTTGGTGTTTAGAAAATGCCAATTTCCCAATTTGCCAGTGGGAAACAACTTGGAAGCTGTTGCAACTGTTGTGCTTAGCACCCATTAGCAGTAATTATCACAGGATTGACTACACTGCTTATTGCTCCAGAACTATTATATGGCTGTAACTGAGTTCATTCTAAAATGCAGGGAGCTATCTCCTGGATTGATGATTACAAACTTGGAGCAAGGACTCCATTTTTATCCTGGCTTAATACAGAATTCACCACATGGTGGACTTTTATTCCTTAAAAAAAAAAATAAAATAAAAGGAAACAAAAATAAGATATTGCAGTAGAGAAATCCATCAGTTTGTTTTCTGTTATCACCCCCAACCCACACACCCACTCCCCTGGCCCCTACCCCTGGAGCAGAGGAAAGCACTAATGCAGAGAAACTACTTTTTTCCTGCTCTTTCCATGTATATTCTATGCATGCACCTAAAAATACATAAAAGAGTTACAAAATAAGTATTAGAGCTTGATCCTCTAATGAGCGGAGCCTCTATTGGAGGCTGAAAATGAGAGGTGCCTCTATTAGATGGTTTCCTTTACTATTTAAGATGTGTGTCTCTACAGTAATTATGGACAGCTGATAAATAGCCATTTTACAATGGTTTGTAAATGTGCTGATACTGCTATGTATAATCACTCCATACACTACACACTGTATTAATTATTTCTCCCCTATCTTGTTTTTCCCCTTAATTTAGTCTCAAAAATTTCCTTCTACTGTGCAGCTGTTATCATGCAGCTCTCCCAGTGTATTACCTTCTTCATTGCTAGATGAAACATTATTGATGCTTTGTTTTGGCACTTCCTTTGTTAGGAAAAGATGCCTTGCTTGGGACAATTTCAAACGCCATCCATTACAGGTGAAAAACTCACCTGGGATGACAGTGCTGGAATTTCTTTCACCTGCTTCCAGGGAAGGTAAAAAGCAATTCTGCAGAGCTGACAGGACAGGGAGCGAGACCCTCATCAGCATAAATCAGAGAGGCTTTGCTGAACATAAGGTAGTTATTTTTCATTTAAGAAGCTGGCCAAGTGTACTTTCTGCAGCAGTGCTGGAGTGGCATCAAACACTGACCCCAGGCATTCAGGAATGCCCACTGCAATAGGGCTTTTTCTAATTGTTTTGAATGTCTAGGCTTTTATAATATTACATTAAACCTAGTCCTCATGGCAAGAACCACCCACAGGCTGTTACTCTCTGTGACATCCAACAGCTGGAGCCTAGGAGCATCAGTGGACTAAGTGTATTCATCAGATGACTGAGCAAACACATAATTATTTTAATTATTGTTCTGTTTGTTCTCATGTTTATTGTTAGCTCTGCATCTCTAAGTTGTCATATACTTGCCTTTGAACATACTTTCTGGGAAGGGAATGATTTGCATTAGAGCTTCCTGGAGAACTGGCAAAAGTACCTTTAACCAGTATGTTCAGCTATTTGGGATAGCAGGTTTTTTACTTCTTACAGATACTTAACAGATGTGCCAAATTCAAAGATGGGCCATACTGAGGCCATAGCTCTGAGACCTCTGAGAAAAAGACCTCACTCTTATTTAATTGTACCTAGGCTAAAAGCCGGGCTTAACTGTCAGACCTACAGTCAAACATGTTGGTGCTTTAGCAGTGTAAAGAATTACTGTCTGTAATCTCTGTGTCACCCCCCTATGCCCCTAAAGAACAAACTATGGGACAGCAGGTCAATAAGAAATTGTGATGTGGAGAGGCAAGTTTTGCCTTGAGGTTGAATTAATGCAGTTTCCATATCAAAAAAAACCTTGTGCCAAAATTCTGACACACTTCTAACCCAGAGCCACTTCACAATGGCTTTTTATGGTTTCCAGGTGGCAGTTTCTTTAGAAATTGCTTTTACACCTCCATTAGACCCTTCAACACCCTTGAAGTATTTATTCACTGGGACAAAAATTCTAGTCTCGAAAATTCTCCTCAGTGTGCTTCGGGGCAAAGAGGTTGATTTTGGCAGAGTATCCCCAAAACAAGGGTCTATTGCCAGCACCAGCATGGAAAAGTTCTCACTCTACTAGATTGCTGAAGCTCTGTTCTTGTAAAAAACCCATGATAATCTCATACCATTTTGTTCTTCTTCAGAGCAGAAGTATGTAAACCAGAAATCTAATATGCAAGCCAGAAGAGAGAAATACAGCTCACAGTCACCCAATAAAAATACACAGTGGGACTTCCAGGCCCTCAGCTTCAGTGGTTACAAACTCTGTGGCTTAAAATTACCGTAGAACAAGACTTCACAAATATTCTGTGATGTATCTTTTGACTAATTCCAGTTTCTTTTTCCAGCTTATAGAAATAGTCATAATAAAGCACAACACAGTAGGTCCAGCGTAGCAGCATTGCAGGTGACACACAGCCCTTCCCAAACTCTACTCCTTTTTTTTTTTTCCTTCATTTACTTGGCAAGTAACATTGTTTAATAGAAAGACAAAACTGGATTTTGTATTCCTGGAAATATTTCCATAGCAATTTGTGGGCAGTAATTTTTCACAAGGGATTTTAGTTATTTATAAACTTAGTTATGGAGGCCTGAGAATAAAGGTACTATATGCATACCTCACCCACACATTGCAATGCAGGTATCTGTGGTACAGATTTCTGCTCTACACAGTTCCTTGGCGTTCAAACATTATTAATGCCAATAAGACAAATTGATTAAAGGCTTTCTCTCCTACATTAAAAGGGTGGGTTGGCAGAAAAAGGTGGGAATGGTCCTGTTTTCCATAGTTGCAGTCAGAGTTCCTAAAAAACACAGTTACAGTCCTGTTAATGTAGCGAGTGGAGGGGTGCCGTGTTTGTGCAACTTATTTCACATTTTCTCCATGACCCTCCATCAAGGCTAAAGCACAAAAAGGGAAAGTTCACAATCAATTACCTGAAAATATGAACAGTAGCTCACTGCTGATGAAGGACTTGCTTTACAGTTCATTGACAACATTTCTATCAGGCAGTTCTTGCTTTTACAAATGTGAAGACACTGCATGTTCTCGTACATGTTTAACACCTCATTAGGGGAATGACTCAAATTCCCTGGTGTTTAGCTGTCTTCCCATGACAGATCCTTTGCTCTGACTCAACAACAAGCAGCACAGAAAGGCTTTGCTGTGAGCTGTATCCATACTATTCTGCATTATTTCACCACTGTGTATTCAGTCAGACCACATTTCCACATTAGAAAACAAAATATCTGCTTCAGCACCCTAACAACCTCCTGCATCAACTTTCCCTTTTGATTTTATCCACAGACACTACAGATGGGGATAAAACATTTCTCAGGGCTCTTCGTGATGTTGTGCATTGGCTTTGGTTTGTCCATTCTCACCACCATTGGGGAACACATCGTGTACAGACTTGTCCTGCCACGAATCAAGAAGAAATCCAAGATGAAGTACTGGCTCCATACCAGTCAGGTACGTGTTCTGAAGAGACCCTGTGAAAGTTGTGTGGCTGACTAAGAAAACCTGGACAATAACAAGGTATAAAATGGTCTGAGAGCACTGACAGTTAGCATTTGAATGGTGGCAGTAACTCCTGAAGCTTGAAAAGGCTGACCTAAGGATGGAATGGGAAGCACAGAGGAAATTATTTATATATTCAGTTACAAAGCTCACAGAAGGACCCTTCCATGTGCACTTGTATCATCACATCTCAGCTCTTTTGGATGATGGAAGTAACAGTGTTGTTATCCTGAACTGACAAACCAGAACATTTTATCTCACTGTTAGAGGTTCCCAAACCTGTGAGGCATGCAGGAAATGCTGGGTAACCTCCCTCATTATTCTAGAGAAACTAATGGGACAGAATTGCTCTGGATGTTTGCTTTAAAGGAAGAAGTTACTTCACAGCAAAAGGCACAAAAGGGAAGAACATCCATTGCTTTAAAGCAGCACAGTGGGAGAAATCTTTTAAAACTAATTTAACACCTAGGATTGTTCCCAAACTACTAATCAAACTTTCAGCTTGCTCTTCTTTGGGAACGTACAAGAAAATAAAACTGTTGTAATGACAAAGCACAGACAATTGCTTGTATCCTTCAATGTGCAAAATAATTTATGCTCAAATCCATCAGACAAAGCCCAAATTGTTTACCTATTTGTGGAGCCATTTTTGGTCTTACTTTTACTAATTTATGTTCCTCGTTTTCCTCTAGAGATTACATCGTGCTCTGAACAGTTCATTTATTGAGGAAAAATATCATCCTAAGAAGAAACGAGTAGAAAAGAGGTAGGAAATTCTCCATGCCTTAAAATACAAACTATAAAAATTACTTTGAAATTAAATACCTTCTGTTTGGATGTATAGTTATGAATCTAATACACATCATAGGTAATAGAATTAAAAAAAAAAATGAAACAAGATAGAAGTGACAAATAAGGGAGGCAAAAATTTATTTTTTCTCGTATTAAATCTAGCAATCTTGTTCTTTCATGATTTTGCATACAGCTAATAAAAAACCTCCCATTCCAAAGAGAGGCTTCACAGCTGAAGTCCACTGCCCTTGGGTTTAGGGAATGAATTACTCCTGAACCAAAGCAGTGGCAGAGCCTTTAGAGAGAAAGAGAGATCAGGCACTCACATGCTGAAACTCCTTCAGCTCTCTTCTTCTGTAGAATGAGAAATAAGAAAGCTGAGGAGGGGCAAATGCAGTCCTTTGAAAAAATATTGTGTCTAACAAGTCCTGTGGGAGAAAAAACTTGGCCTTGTTTTCATAGCTGTGTCTTCTGCAGAGGAGACAATGGGATGTACAGCTTCCAGGAACATAAGGCATTGCATGGGACTGTGCACGTGCTCAGCAACTGGTGCACTTTGTAAGGACACAGACAGCAGCACTGCTTTTCTACAGAGAAGTTCAGGCACAGAGTATAGAATACAAAAGGCCTTTCAGAATGTTACTGGATGGTTGGCCTGACTGAAACCTATAGATATGCTGTGTTTCTTTGATGTTCCTCTGCTAAAGGCAGCAAATATAAAGGAGTAAGCATCTCATAAGTTCCTAAGCTGCCTTTATACACGCAAGTGTCTAAAAATGCCTGCAATTGATCTCCTCTGTTCATTCCTTCATCTTATCAAAGAACACCATGTATGGAACCTCCTTGCACACAACCATTCCTGGCTTTTGATCTGTGAGCATTTGGAGAGGCCATGAGTGTTGCAAAATGTTTCTTCCTGCTGCACCCTCCTTGCTGGGTGGAACAGGAGGAGATGGTGCATAAGCCCCACAGGCAATGGCTTACAAAAAGATTGTGCAAATAATCTTCCAGCTTAGGAGAGTGAAGATGTTCTGCTTTCCAAAGGCTTCTGCCCACACAGCAGTCAGCCCTGAGTCTGTGCATGCACACCCACCCACTGTCCTTGCTCTTCTCAGCATCTCGGGGCTGCTGTTTGCACAGAATTAGGATGAATTTAACTCGACAGACCCACAAGTGGGGTGTCCAGCTTGTCAGGAACACCCATGTGGCAGGGCACAACACAGAGCTCTCAAATCACTTTATCACAGGTCCTTTCATTCCTGCTGGGCACTGAGGAACTCCTAAAAGCAGCAGAGACACAGAAAAGAGGTGGAAAAAATTGGCATCATGCTACTGCTGGTATCCTCATGGAGAAAAATCTGTTGGGTTTTTTAAGGTCATCAAAAACTATAAAATCTGCTCAGCATCAGTAGCCCAATTGTAAATGGTTTTATTAACCTGGTGAAACTGGAGTGCTAACTGTGGTCTCTGGTATTTGTTAAAATCATCTGCCTAGACTTGAGAGTATTCCTATCTTTTATTTTGAAATATGAGAAAATAGCTGATCTGTACAAAAATAAACAACTCTACATGCACATCCCTGCTGGGATTCCCTGAGCTCTCCGGAACATGATCCAGGCAGGGGCTGCTTCTCCTGCCTGAACCCTCCTCTCCTGCCTCTTTTTCAGTACATGTCTTGGAGAACACCCCTGATCGACACCTCCTTGAATAAAATTTCCACTTTCCAAAGTTCCTTTACTGCAGGCAGGTGAGAAAAGTAGCCACTCCTTAACTAGCTGCTTTGAGTAGTCACAACCCTGAAATATCAATCTCCTTCCTTAACCTGCCCATGAGGAGCTCACACCCAGAGGCTGTTTGGATAGCCACAGAAGTGCTCAAGGAGGGAGCAGTTTGAAACACAGCTCCTTCAGAGTTTAAACCTCCCTTTATCACATGAACACACACCAACCTGTCCCAAAGGGAAAGCAGGCAAAAAAGAGAAGCTCCTCTCCCACAACAGCAAACTCTATGTTTCCTTCTGTTCCAGTTGGAGGATGGAGGCCATGGGCTACTCTGTGTTTTGGGAAGGAGCCCTAGGAAATGGCCTGATCTGGGAGGACAGCAAAGGGAAGTCACCCAGAGAGAAGGAGAAGATTCTTTAGAATCAATAGATTATGAAAATATTTCTGCAGGAAAAAAAAATGGAGCATTTGAAAAATTGCCAGATGGGAATTTGTGCCCCAGTTTGACAGCTCCCAAGTCTCTGTGTTGTGTCAGGAAGCTCAGGAATGAACCTGCAAGGCTTGGATAAGAATCGTTGGTGTCCACCCACAGAGCACAAGCAGCTCCCCAACAAGACTTCAAGACTAAGGGACAAAGCTTCCCCCTCCAGCTCTCCTCAGCAGCTCTAGGGAGTCTCTTTCCTTCTCCATGAGAACAAATGCCCAAGACAGGACAGAGTAATAAGACATGAAGGACTAACACTGCAATAAACTTGCACATTGCAACCACAAAAGCTTCCAGAGGCTTTGAAGGACTTAGATTTTCCTAACTTCCAGTTGAGTAATTTCATAACTGAAAGAAAGTTTTGGGGAAGAAGACATTCAGGGTTCTGTTCTAGCCTCTGCTACAGTTAAATGACAAAAATATGGTCATGTACATTAATGGTTTGTGCTTTGCAAGAAAACATAATTCCAGGAATAAAGGAATAATATTTCTATGTAACATGTAACAGCAGTCATATTTTTCCAGTAGGATGGCTCACAGGGGAGGTCTGCACACACAAGAGCAGGCTGTGATGTGGTATTAACTCTCCTCTCTCTGTTCAGGGCCCATGTGGGGAACAGCCAGCATGCGGTGTGGAACACAGCCAACCTGGGCAACTGCCACAGAAAAAAATATATCTGCACCGATGAGGGGCAAAATGAGGTGACAATCTGTCAGCACCAGGATATCCCCCTACCACAGGGGAGGAGAGAGACTCCACCTTCCTTAACCACCAACGGGAAAGCAGAGTCCCTCAACACTGCAAGGACCTCAGTGCTGCAAGAACTGACAGAGCTGGAGAAGCAGATCGAAATCATCAAGCAGGAGCTGCAACTTGCCATGGACAGGAAATCAGAGCTGGAAGAGTATGCACGGACAAATAGAACTGCAGAGCCCTAGGCCAGCATACCTGTGCCATTCCCCTTTTCTCCCTTTCTCCCCTTCCTCTGTAAAATTTGTAACACACTTTTGTAATGCCAGAAAGAGGTGCAAAAATAAACTAGGCAATAAGCTCTTCAGGAGAGCAGAATTGCAGCAGCCCACAGCCACTGCCACCCTACTGAGTTCTCCTCCTTTCACAGCAAGTTTCTTATTCTCCTGGAAAACACCAGCCATTCCCAAGGGACTGGAGAGACAAGGAGCATCCAATGAGAGTTCCTCGTTTCTTCACCTTACAGTACAGTGAGATTAAATTTTTTTAGCCCTTTCTGTGCATTCATTAAAAAAAAAAAAAAAAGAAAAGAAAAATATACCAAAAAAAAGGTTTAAACTGTTCATTGGCAGTATGTCCCTTTGTTGGTACATTTTTGTTGTATTCTGTGTGGGTCTAGTCTCTGTTCATGTGAAGGCTCCTCACGGATGCCTCTTTATGGCAGGTGCTGTTCTGTGTTGGCAGTCCCTTCCCTCCTGGCACAGGCTCACAAGACAAAGTCCTGGTGGCAGACTCACCACACATCATTCCTCAGCTCTGTCAGCAAATGGAGGTGTGGCTGCTCTAAAGCTGTGGTGAAGAAACTCACCCAGCTTAACACAACTTGGCAAAAACCAATCTACCACTTCTGTCTGCCTGTGAGCCTAGGCTGGGCTTCCACGCCCTCCCAGAGAGAAGCCATGCAAACGCTGCACTGACAGGTGAAGGGACGGATTCACAGTGGCACAGGACAAAGATGGGAAGGGAGAGGGGGCACTATTGTAAATCAGTATTTACCTCAAAAAGTGAAATATTTACTAGTGTGAAACTACTCCCTTAATAGTCTCTGTCTTAAGATGACAATAAGGTCCTTTCCCACAGATAAGGTGACTAGAGGGGCTCTGGACCATGATTTATTCAGATTCCAAGGTCCCATCAAAACCAAAAGGAGTCACCAAAACCACCCTGTGGATGAAGAATGAGAATTGTGATTTCAGTGGAAATGTAATGAATGGATCTCTCTCCCTTCTGGGTGATGAGGGGAAGGAAGGGTAAGCTGTTCAACATCTGAATAAACACTGCATCAACCCAACTGACTGTGTTTTTTAAATAGGTTTTCTACCAATTTTTAAAAACCACTTCCCAACACATCTTGTATTACAGAGAAAAAGAAAGTTTGTAATACTGTCTCTTAACTCTGGTCTCCCAGATAAGTCACCAAAGTAATTTTTCCCTCCCTGTTATCTCCTGCCACCTGTAGAAATGCTGCCCAGGATTGTTCTTGTTAGGTGTAGTTCAAATGCTGCAGGCAGATTGAGGAAGACATTCTACCTATTTGCATCTCTAACCTTTGAAAAGCCCTTGTATATGAAAAGCTCTGCATCAGCACTAAAAGCTGATCACAGTGAGACCCAGACTAATTAGCCTCAAGAGCTCTTTGTTCCCTGCTCAGGGCTTGTTCTCTGATTTTCTGTGTCTGCTCCTTCCAATACAGTAACATGGGGAAGAGAAATTAGCACATAAACTAGGGAATCCTGGGATCCACAGGCCTGCACCTTGGTAGGTCTAATAGATCTGGCATGTCCCCACATTCCTGACAAACTTGATGGGCAAGGCACTGAGGTTACTTTTGTTGCCTTCCCTTCCCCTCCCTCCCCACTTTAGATAATCCGATTTCTAGAAAGAGCTTTTTTTTGTGCAGCATCTGGCACCTCACAACCTCCAACATGATTTGTTTAGAATACATGAATAGTGCTCTTTTCATTAAAACACTAGGAAAGAAGTATTTCAGGCCAATTTTGTAAGTATTTTTATCAAGGCTTTTATGTCCTTATCTCTACACATGAGCCCAGAAACATATTATTTAAAAAATTAAAAATGTTAATCATATCTTAAACAAAAATGTTTTGCTTCAGAGCTCCAAACACCAAATCCTTCAACAAATCAGACTTCATTCAAAAGCAAAAATACAAATGAAAAAGTGTCAACCTCCTAATAACTACTATTAAGTAAGTATTATTTCTGGTAGTTGTCTGCAATCTGCAAAATACGGATTGCTCTGAATTAGTGCATCACCAACTGTGCCTTTTCAGAAAAGACTCAACTTATTGCTGCCCAACAGAGACATACTATTTTCTTGCTCAGCCACTGCTCCAGCCTGATCCCCTGGGCCCAAGAGATTGCTGTGGGTTTCTGTGCAAAGGGGAGTAGCACAGGCACATCAATGCCTGCAGACTGTGGCAGAGAGGAGGATCTGCTGTGCCAGAAGGTGCACGGGAGACTGGAGATGAGGTTTTTTCTTTCTTGTCTAAGACACTGTGTTTAGAGAATATTTTAATAAAGAATACCATCACCGCTTTACTTTTTTTACCCCAGTACTTACTAGTCCTGATAAATTTTTAAACTATTTCCATACATTCTGTTTCTCAGTGGTTTAATTAAATGTAATTAAAACCACCGAGAAACTCAGTGACTGGGGACAGACAGAGGGGCTTTGCAGCTCTGCTGGGGCTGCAAAGTTCAGGCTGCTGTTCACAGCTGTAAAAGGAACTCCTGCTGCTGTAGCAAAGCTGTTTGAAGACACAGTTTATTCATGAGCCAGGTCCTGGTGTGATGAAGAAGCATCTGTACCCCAAAATCTACCAGCAGCATTTCCACATCATTCCTTAGGCAATTTGCTGCCAGAACCTGTAATCCCAGGAGCAATTTCCAGGGAAAGGGGAACAGGTTCTACTCATTCCTTCTAACAGCTCTTACACCATGGCATGAACTCTCAGCAGCCCAGATTCCCCTTGGAAAGGCAGGATGCCACCTTCTTCTCACTTTTCAGGATTCCTCATCATTTACAAGACTTTACTCATATATTCTGAATGCTTTCACCAAGATAATGAATAGTGTAAGAGCCTGTGATGAAGTCCTTTTACTTTGTATCTGGTATTTCCTGCAGGGAGAGGATGGGGGAAGGCAGGAGATTCCATGCTTCAGGGAAGGGACACCCATGAGACAAACCTCTGACAGGTGCACCTTCCACGCAAATTAAATTTACAGGGAAAACATTACACCCTAGGAAGAAATGTCACAATCAACAACTTCCCATTTTGATTTTAGGAACAGGCTTCAAATGCTCCAAGCACAGGGACCACTGAGACTCTAAGCCACACCACATCCCTGCCAAAATTCCCAGCAGCCATGACAAAATGGCTGCAGAAATAATGCAGCATCCTGGCCCTCCTGTTGTGTCAGGAATAAACTACTGAGAATAGAGCTCAAGGGACAAAAGTTGTTCTAGCTGAGCATATTTTGAAAGGAGAGGAAGGAAGAGATCAAGTACCTCTAGTGTAGAAGTTTAAAGCTTGTGAGAAATGTTTCCAAGAACTGGACAAAGGATGGGAGAGCAGACAGACAGTACCAGAGGCAGGACAACCAGAAAAAATAAACCAAACAACATCTTCAATAAGAATTTGTATTTTCATCCTTCCAGCTTCCATGTATTCTCTATTAAAGTCTTCAGAGGCGGTTCTATAGCTGAACTAGACAGAACTGCAAGATACCTATTTCTAACAATCTCTCTTCACAAGTTCTCTTCTGACTTTATAATCAAATACCACAAATTGTCATATTAAACCCAGGTGACTGCTGAATTCTCCCTGGCTCCTCTTCACAGGGATAGTCCTGCTTTCCTTTCTGCCTGTTCTAATGTAATTTCTGCATTCCTGCTAAATGTTAACAAAATGACTGTCAGAAAGAAAATTTTTTCAAAACCACAGAGGTACAGAATGTAATTCTCCTTATAAAGATAGCAAATTATTGTGAGTAGCAGCAGAGAAACAGACACATATATACATGCATTCAGCTTAAACCTAATTAGGGGAGGAAAAAAGTTGTAAACTAAAGACCACTCCTCTCACAACAAATTCATGTTGGTAAACGGAATTCAGAGGGGCTTCAAGACAGTTCCCGCATCAGATCTCTGGATTTAGGTTATCAAGACAGGCATTTCTTATAACTGGCACTGACCACTCAGATGAAATTTGGATTATTCTTTCCATTATATACTTATCTACCACAGAGCCACAGCTTCTTGTGTCACAAACTCATGGGCTGTTTCCTATCTCGCCATCCCCCACAGTGGGAAAGACAGAAATTCATGAATCTTTCCAAGAGCCTCTCTCCCCTCACAAGTTCCCTGATTGTTTCTGTTCTCTGGTTCCACGTACAGACGACGTGGGGAAGGTGGAGGAGGGATCACTACTTGTAAAGAGGTGAAAACTGTTTTAACCAGACATGGTTAAAATGGACTCAAAGATCAGAACGGGACGTGGGCAGGAAACCATCACAATTTCCAACGGTGGCCACACGGTGGCACCAACGCACTGAGCTGCAAGTGGAGCCACAGCCCCCATGGACTGTACCTGGAGCAAAGTGTAACACAGCTAAAGAGCAGGCTCAGAACAGACACTGCTAATGAGGTTTTCTGCAGGCACACCACTGCAAACTGAGGGCAGCCCATCCCACAGAACACCTTCACCCTCACATGGCTACAGATGTCTCACCTTGAGCTTTTCATTCTGTGTTGTTACTTCCTCAAGATCCTGACGTAGTTCCTCCAGTTCATTAAGGCGATTCCCAGCAAGCTCTTTATTCTCTTCCAGCTCTGCATTCATCTCCTCAAACTGTTGGGATAAACTGCTTGTAAATCCTGCTGTTAATGTGTCTCCTGAGAATGCTAATGAACTATCTGTTCGTGCAGTGAAGCACAGACTGAGCAGTCAGGTAACTTGACCAAGAGAGACAGAGTCTAATTCCACCAGGTGTTTTTTAAGTAGAAACCTCATACACAGACAAAATGGCTTACATAGAGTCATCCAGCTTTGTGGCACAAGATCTAAAAATTTAAGAAAAATTATGTTAAAGAGTTTGTAATATCCCCAATCCCAGTCTCTCCCAAAATGTCTCCCCACAAAGTGTCCTCCCTGAGGCACAAGATGGCGGACACCCCATGGCGTTTCCCGCCACTTTTGCTCCCCCTTCCCATAAACCCCTTCCAGTTTCTTCCTTCCTGCCTCTTCCCGAAACCCCTTCCTCCTGGCAACCAACCCCTTCCACTCCCAAGGTTTTCCCGCCTATACCTTCCCTCTGCCCACCTCCTCTCATGAATTATGCATTACCTTTCCCTCAGACTCCACCCCTTGGGGGAGTTTCCCACCAACATCCACTCCCCCTGGCCCTAACTCCACCCCTTCTGCCTCCTCCTCCAGTTCACACGACCTCACTTCCAGTTCCCACGATTCAAGTCCCGGGAGGGAGCGTGGGAACTGCAGCCTACCCAGTCCCCTGCCTGCCTTCACTGCCGCACCAGTCACCTACATCCCGCATTGTGGGGGGGGTAGGCCTGAAACACAATGGTCCCCCATATCACAGCAAGTGATAAAAGATTCATGTAAAGCCCAAAAAGAATTTGGCAGGGAAAGTGAATTTTTCCAAGGTCTTTTAAAGGCAACATTATCCTCTGCTGAGTATGTACCAGCAGATCTGAGGACTCTCTTTTCATGTTTGATAATACAAGCAGTGTTCTTAGTCTGGGAATCAACATGGAAAAGAGAAATAAGGGATTTGTTGCCAGATCTATGGGCTAATCAGGACACCTCTATAGATACGGATGGGACAATAATATCAGTAGATCACTTGTGCGGGGTAGGAGATTGGGACTCAGGCCCTAAACAAGCAGATAATATTCCGCAGGAAGCATTAAAGTTAAGTACGAAAGCAGCAGAAAAAGCCTTCTTTAAGTTAAAACCTATCGACCCAGTTATTAATTATCTTTGTATTAAGCAGGAACCTTCTGAGTCTTTTGTTAGATTAATTGATAGACTACATAGAGCCATAGACCTACAAGTACCAGATGAGGGGCTCAGGAGGGGGATCATCACAGAAATCGCAAAGCAAAATGCAAATGAAGCCTGCAGAAATGTGATCCTCAGCCTTCCCTTGGACCCTGAGCCCATGTTACAGAATATGCTAGAAGTCTGTGCCAGAAAAGTCATCATTCCCACAGGAGATCACCAAGAGCCTCTCCCATCTCCAAACAGGACA